TTGACTGGCCTCTAGTTGTAAGTTGCTGTGGCTTCCACCCGTCTGTGTCAACATCAGTAATTATAGTAATCAGTATTTTTATTGGGTATTGTTATGTGAGTGTGTTTATATGTCTAAAATAAATGTGCAGTATGTTTTGTTAAAACTTAATTTCTCTTTTTTTCTTCAGGGGATGACGATCAGGCCCCTGGTGGAGCTCCTAGCTGTGAAGAAAAAGAAAGAGAGCAAAGAATCAATTAATGAGGAGATCCACACACAGGTGACAATTTCATTCACTTCGTGTATAAGAAAACACATCAGTCCTTGTTAATATATGAGAGGGATGGGGCTACAGATCAAACAGTGTATAAGATGTATAAATAACACCCTCTGTAAACTAATTTTGCCATCAGTTCCTGGATCATCTCCTCACAGGAATTGAAGACATCTGTGGTCATTATGGGCATTATCACTGGAAGGACAAGTATGTATTTTCTTTCTTAATGTATCCTCTCTATCACCTCCATCTTTGTAGTTCAGAAGAAGCCCTCAAGTTGTTATGCAGCCATGTGAAAAAGAAAATTTTCACTGGTCTTTGTGCAGTCCTGTAAAAAACATGAAGATGACTCAGTAGATTGTAGATCAACAAGTAACTCTAACTTCCAAAACCTCTGCTTTGATAGAAGTGCTTAAACTTCAAGCACATCTGATTAACAGCACCTGGTTGCTACTTATCCTCTTAAGTCCTGGAAGCAGTAAGGGTGCACTCAGTTTTTCACAGGACTGCAAAGTCAGATTACTGTATCCCCCTTTTATAAAACAGAAAAAATAACTTTTTCTTCTGTATACAGGCTGAATCGCTTCAATAAGACCTATGTGAAGAGATGGCTGATCGCAGGAGAACGCTCCACCGAGCCTCAGCTCATCTCCTTCTACAATAAGATGGAGCTGAAACAGGCGATGATGATGGTGGAGAGCGGGAGCGCCGCCAAGCTGCCCACGATTGTGTCGACCGTCTCCATCCGGTAAATGTCAGAAGCAAGTCCTGCAAGAACTGCTTTCTGTGCATGAGATATTCCCCAAAAACAGTATTGAAGTGAATTACTGAGTAACCCGGACATACCTGTATTTTTTGGGTGAACTAACCCTTAATCCAAATTGATTTTGTGGAGGATGGAGGTCTTTTTGTTCCCCAGCATAAAGCTAAGGTTAAAAACACATCTCAGGAAGTTTTTTTATTATAAGTAAAGCCAGATGCCACCAAAAACACTGATGCTGCTGATCCTCTACATAACAAGTTATCAATTCTCCCCCTCAGCGGATACACTTTGTGCTTGTTTTCTGTGTTAGGCACATTAAAATCTAACTGAATGGCTTTAAAAAGTATAAGCTGTGAGTAATATCACACTAATGCAGGTTCTGGACTTTAAATTTGTTCACTGTTTCCAAACAGAAACGTTCAGGCCAAAGGGTCGCCCAAACCGAGCCGAGCCATCTCAAAGAGTCGTGAGGAGGAGATCAGAAGAGTCCTGCGAGCCAACCTGCAGAATACCCGACAAAGGGTGAGGAAGACATCGACGGCTTGTTCAAAATGGATTGGACTAATCTGAATGTTTGCATGCATGTTCATGAGTTGCAAACAAGGTCCATCCTTTTTAAAATAAATGTGCATTTAATACTTTCTTCCTCCTCTGCAGCTTCGCTCGTACAGCAGATATGAGCTGCTAAACGACGCGCTCGAGGACGATATAAGCGAGGCTCGCTTCAGGAAGCAGAAGGAGATGGAGAGAAGGGTGAGTTTAAACAACTCTAAACTCTAAAGCTGTCGACTTAAACAAATTAGAAACATTAGAACATTTCAGATCTGTCCAACTTTTTGTGCATCTAGTTTGAAGCTTTATTTTTTTGTTCCCTGACTACCACGTTTTTAATGTCAAAGAGTTAAAATCAGAGAACTCGCAGAGTTAAAAGGGTAATTTGGGCTAATAAAAAATGCAGATTCATAGAAATGTGTAAAGATTTTTGGCAGTAAAAGTAAAATGAGGATACTTTCAGATACATTTATTTTTTATCAGATAGAGTACCAGATACAAGCTTTCCTTTAAAGATACTCGAAGGATGTGTCTTGATGCATTCTAAGTAATACAGATAATGAAATCTCAGGAAGCTGATTCTGTTCATCTGGACGCAGAGTTTTAGGAAGGAGAAATGTTTCAGACTGAAGTCCCTGATATGAGTGACAAATATGTCTTCCTCCTAGAACTCTGCGTCCAGATGAACAGAATCAAGTACAAGATACAAGTTGTTACAAAGAAACAACATTAAATATGAAGGAGAAGTGTAAAAACTCCTCAGCAGGCAGAGCTGAAGGCAGCGAGGAGACACAGAGACAGCCAGTGGGGGAAAAACTATTTTTGTCAATGTCAGTTTTATTTTACAGCACATTTAAAACAATAAGGGGGGTTTTAACCAGCTCCAAAGGAAAGCTCGGCAGTGACCAAACATTATCCAAATAGAATTTTTTATCTTTTCCAGCCAATTTTGTAAATTGTGGTTTTATTTAATCATAACTGGTACTTTTATTTTTTTTAAATCAAATGCTCAAATGCATAGCCAAACCCTGCAGAAAGGGATCTTTGCATTGAGAGAAACTTCAGAGAGCTTATTTAATATGTCCTGGTGCTGAGTTTAAAAGTGATTGAACCTCTTGAAAGTGTAACAAAGGGGTTTAACAGACGGTCAGAGGACTCTCCATCCAGCACCTGAATCATTTCAGGACCCATTAGATCCCTCCATCCTTGTGTTTTGCTGTGGATAAGAATCAATACTAAAGTGCTTTGTTCCGTTGTTGGGTGTGACTTCCTGCAAAGTCCTTCTTTAAACTCTGTTATGCTTCTCTTACAGATGAGCCACTACCTCACGGTCCCTGCAAACCGCCAGGAGACGCCCCCTGTGAGAAAAGTATTTTTTCAACAAGGTCAGTCTAAGAGCCAGTTTAAAGCACGATTTTATGAGAATGAAAATTATGTTCCGGCTTTAAAGTCACTCATTGTTTTGAGTTTTGTGCTGCTGGATTCTTTTGGAGCATTTGAGCAGCTGTGTCCTGCTGTTGGATGCAGACCTGGAAGTCTGTGCATCAATACAATACTTTTCTTTTCCACACGGGATATGTCCTGTACAATGATGCAAATATTTTGCATTAAACAGAATGAGTCTTATGGGGATCGATAAAAGGATACCTTTTGTCTTCCACTGTGTCTGCCCTGGATCTTTTCTAATCATATTATCCTGTGTTGGGTATCATATTTAGCTACAAGACTGGCTTAGGATTTTAAAATGGAATAACCAGATTATTATAAACATTTACACCCAGAGGAAAATTAGATTAAGTGGATGAGGTTGCACATTTTAATAACTGTACAAATGTGCGATATTTACCTGTGATTTCTGTTTAATTCTGTTTAATAATGAGGTTATTTTTCCAAAATTAATTTAAATAATATTTCCACCCACATCAGTAAAAGCCTAAAAATAAATAATATTTTAACATTTTCATTAATAGTAAAGATTAATAAGTGCTTATAAATAGAAGCAAAGGATGATATAAACTATTAAAAGTAAAAATCTGTTTAATTTATTTATTTTTTGGTTATTTTCACTGCAATAATTTTTCTTTTGAATCCTTTCCTATCCTAAAACAATAATTTCTATGTGTAAGTGAATATGCATGCTCTAAATTATTTTAAAATATAACTGGTGCTGGTGTTCCTAATTAACCAAATCTAAAGGTGTTTGTAAAAGGTGTTAAACTGTTAATGAGCCCCTGCCTTTATTCTCCAGAGCACAAAGTGTACACCTACGATGACAGCGAGAGTCCCCGAGGGGCGGGCTTCTCCCAGCTGTGCTGATGATGTCAGCGAGCTGAAGGAGACCCCTGAGAAGCCCGATCAGAGCAGCACGCCGAGGGCCAACAGGGACGCCGAGCTGAAGCCAAAAGAGCAGGACGACCAGGGGGATCAGCTGAAAGTATCACGCTGCCTCAGTGACCCCGGTCCAAACCCGGAGGATGATGAGGACAGCACCTTCCTGCCATGAGTGAAGCACATTTTACAGGAGAGGCCTGAAGACAAGAGAGCTTTAGCAAAGCTTGATATTTATCATTTAAATTGTTGTAGGTTTGTGATGTAGGATTGTGCAATCTTCGTTCCATACGTTCATAACATGTTTTTTTATCATGCAACATGCAGAATTGCCAAAGCGTGCTGCAGGGGACATTTCTTATTTGAAGTTTTTATACCCGCCTGAAGTTTCAGCATTTTGAATTTTAACATGCGCCTCAAGCCAAAGCATTTGTTTCAATGAGCTTGAAGCACCAGACGGGTGGAGTCTCCTGCCCTGAAAGCACAGATAAGAAACATAATGAGGTAAAGCCCGGCTGATAAACGCCGTTGGCTGCCAGTGTTTGTCTGTCTGGGGTATTTGTCACAGACTGAAACATCTAAACAACCTTTAGTTGGGTTGCCATGACGTTTTGTTCATCTATAGTGCCCAGAGGATGAATCCTCACAACTTAAAGCCGTCATGGATTACCATGAAGTAATGACAGGGGAACTAGAGCTCACATTTTTCCTATATCGACTTCCCTTCATGGGCTCCCTGTTGAATCCAGAACTGGATTTAAAATATTTCTCTTCACATACAGTTCCCAAAATAAGACCTCATAGTATCATATTATCTTGTCAGAGCTCATTGCTCTCAAACTGCAGGGTTACTTGTGGTTTCTAAAAGTAGAATCAGAAGCTTAGATTGGATTAGACTCAACTTTCCTGATAGAGCTTATAGTTTGGGCTGGATCAGGTGAGGCTGAACCATCTCTTAGATATGCTGCTATAGAGTCAGGCTGCTGGGGGTCTTCCCATGATGCACTGAGCACTTCTTTTTCACTCACCTCATGTCACTCCACATGTGTTTAGAAGCCATTGTTGCATGTCATTTTCTCTTCCACAGTTTGTGTTTTGTCCAGTCTCACCGTGCAGATAGCTGCTCCTCCCTGAACCTGGTTCACGTGGAGTTTCTCCTCCGGACTGCTGGTCAATGTGAGAGCAGCACTTATTATAAAAACAAGCTATATCCAAACATGAGACTGAAGTAAAACATCCAAAACTAATGTTTTCATGACTTACTCAGTATTTTCAGTGTACATTCAAACTCAGACATATAGACTGTTTTGATTTCAATCAAACAGGACGATTAAACATACTCCATAATAGTCTCTATAAAGACCCACATTCACCTCTCTTTAAGTCTAAAGGAAGTATTCTGAAAATGTTTAGCTGAGCTATAGCTTTGAGTTTTAATAAGCCTAAGCCAAAAGTCCAAAAAAAGATACCCCTCGTGATCACTTTGCTAAAACATAATTGCCAGGCTACAGAGGTTGAAAACTGCACAGTCAGCCAGATCTGTTCTGCTTTACATGCATCAACCTAAGCGCTATAATCAGGTTTATTATGTGGCACAGTGTGTGGCCTTAAAAGTTCCGCTTTGACATATCTTAGCCAAATTTCTCTAATTGAGAAAAACTGCTATCAAAACAGATTATTTTGCTTTAAAAAAAACCAATCTGTATTGTTCCCGAGTCACACTCACATCAGCCTTTACAAAATTCCGGCATCAGATGCATAAATGTTGTATTGTAAATATGTTCGCGCTGCTTGAAGTTTCATGTTGGTAACGAAAAGACCGATCTGATGATCAGAGGCCATTGACGAGCTTAAAATTAAAAAACGAGCTGCAGATATTTGTGGACAAGCACTGTGTTTATCTCCACAGCTGTCGCTGCATGTCTGATCAGTGTTTTCTCAGGGAATTCAACAGACGGTGTGTTTGTATGACTAATACGTGCTCCACAGTTTATAATGTGCCTGTTTTTGTACGCTAAAGTGTTTTCAGCTCTTGTCAAACCGAACAAGGTGTTGGTGATGTTTCCACGTTTTGTAAACAAAGCTCTTTTTGTGTGTGTGTGTGTGTGTGTGTTCCTGTTAACTGAGCATGCTCCAAGACCTGTCAGTGTTTAAGAGACTGGACTGCCTGAGCTTTTGCTGCCTGCACACATTTGCCTTATAAGTGTTTTTGCTTTTTATGCTTTTACCAGTTGCAATGTTCTTTATATTACATATTGTTATATGTTTATTTTGCAAAAATAAAAAAATTGTTGAAATCATAAGGGAAAGCTTTAATTCCTGTCTTAAAAAAAGTTTATTACTGCTGATTTTGTTTGATTCAAACTGTGCAGGTAGTAGAAGGAGTCAAAAAAAGGTGGAGCAGACTCTACCTGTGTCGCTGCCTGGCTGCGAGAATACTTTAAAGATGTCAGGATTAAAAAGGACATACTGTAATAAGGACTAATGGATGAGTTCAGGCTACTGAGGCCCCTCAGTGGAAAGACAATTAAAGAAATAACAGGGAGTTTGAAATCCCCAGCGTGCCAACCAGCAGCGTGTGATGAGACTGTGACAACATCCTCTGCAGCAAACATGAACTTCAACGGCACCTGGAAAGTTTATTCTGAGGAAAACCTTGAGGAGTTTCTCAAATCCATAGGTAAGATATTTTAAAAACTAAAGGATTATTTATTTCCTGAATATATTAAATGTTTTTTTTGTATTTATACTTTCCAGGTGCACCTCAAATGATTATTAAAATGCGTAAGGAAGTGAAACCGGTGATCATCATAGAGCAGAACGGCAAAGACTTCACCTGCACCGTGAAGACTCCAGCCTGCACCAAAGTCCACTCGTTCAGCCTGGGAAAAGAGTCAGAAATAACAACTGTGGATGGAAGGAAGTTTAAGGTAGTTCAGGGACCTCATGCTCAACACATTTGAGTTTTTAGAGTTTTGTGAATTTTAAATTAATATTGGAAGGAGCAGTGCAGAAATGAATGATGTGATTTATGCAGGCACAGTAAGCAGGAGACGTATCTCTGCTATTTATTTACCTTTTAATATTTAATTGTTATTGACTACAACAATGATTTTGTTCCTGGTTAGTGCATTGTCAGAGAGGAGAACGGGAAGCTGATAGCTGAAAATGACAAGTTTACCTCAGTCAGAGAGATTCAAGGGGATGAAATGATTGAGGTGGGTGGCTCTAATTCTTCTTAAAACTGCTATGAATGTGAATCATCCACGTTCTCCTAATGTGTCTGCTTACTGTTTATATCTAGACTATCACTGCTGGCTCTATAACCTTCACCAGCAGGAGCAAACGTGTCTGACCGGCCAGCTCATGGATCCCTCTCAGAATTCCTCATCTGAAGATGAACGGAGTTAACTTATAACTAAATAAATAAAGCTGAAGTTAATAAAATAAAATGTGCAAACACTATAAAACTCGTATCGTTATTTACTGTAAGGCAGTATTCTGATTGTAGAGGGCGCTGTGGGGATTTTTAAGTGCACGCTTTCGTGTAAACGAAGAAGAAGCAGGAAGGCGCCTTTTGAGTGCGCATGCGTTGCTAATTTTCCCCCCTTCGCAGCCTTTCGTTTTCCCTCTAAAAGAAAACATCCTTCTGCTACGTGAGTGTAACTTTATGGCCAGATACATGAGGCCTCCAAACACGTCTTTGTTTGTCAGGAACATCTCTGATGAGTCCAGGTGAGTCCTCGTAAAGAAGCCGCTACTCGTCTACGAGTTAACTCGTGTTAATTGTAGCTAGTTAAGTTAGCCTGGTAGGCAAGGTAGGCCTCAACGTGCAAACTGAAAGGGTAACGCTGACCGGGAGCAGCGCCGCATTTCAAATCTACGTTACGTTATTTTGGCCATATATGTCTTTGTTGTGGTTTTATAAACATTATTAACGTCTGTGTTGCTCTTTAGACGCGAACTTTTTCATGTTTACAGTCAAGCTATCAAAGCTAACTGGCTAACGAAAGCTGGTAAACAGCTCCGTGAAACTTTGAAAGATTTTAAAGGAGGCAAGAAACCCTACAATGTGGATTTAATATGAAGGGGCAAAAATTAATGGCCTCGGCTAACGTTAACCTAATGTTTGTTGGCCGTTATCAATTTTAAACACGCGTGGTTAATTGATTAGTTACAATCTGAGGTCTGTTTGCTGATTTAAGTTTGTATATTTAAATGTGATTAGCACAGAAATTCTCATTTAAACTGGCAAAATACTGACCTCAGAATACACGATCGCAAATGAAAGCTCGTTTTAATTTTGTATGTGTAGCTTGTGAATTAATCTGTACCTGTAATGATTTCCTCATGTATTTGTTATTATAATATTTCATTGTTGTTGTTATATCTAGGTTTAGTCTCAGTGTTAATCTAATCTGACCACACAGGGTTGGTTTAACTTGGTTTTAAAAATACTAAACTTGCTAGATGTGTTAATAACTAGTTAAAGTTTTGCACTAGTATTTAAAAGCAGAGTGAAATGGGTAAATCGATCAGAAATCATCAACATTTTGTTCTCAATCATCTTAGAATTGCCCAAAAAATGTATGGTCCAAAGTTTGGGCATATGCAATGATTTCTGTGATGTTTTAACGCATATATTGAAAATTAAAGGTCAGTCCAACCACTTTCAGGCTTTTTAAACACATTGCAATCTGAGGCAATATTTAAACACGAACATCTCCAAAACTATTAACAACACAAACCAAAATAAGTATCACTGACCCCTTTCACAACTGATTAACTCTGTTTGACATGGATGTTGAAGCTGATTTTAATCTCACTGACACTGTGACCTGAACTTAATTTCCTTAATTTCTTCAATTTTACATTTGCATCTGTGGACGGCCTTGTAACTGTTTATAATGTGTCAGTGCTACACCAATGACATTAACATGAATTGCATGTTAATATTAAAAAGTGTGGATATTTTAAAGGGATAGTTCACCTGAAGAGTGTGGCAAACTGTGAGGAGCTTTTTTGCCCCTATTTTCTAAACATTTCCCAGATTATTTTACTAAAGAAAAAAACAATGGACTACTAGGCAATGAAACTTCTAAAAATTACAATACCCGTGAGCCTTGGTGGCTTTTGCCTTGGAGAAAAGACCAGTCGACTAAAAATGCTTTACATACAAGGACAAAATCTTATCTGGACACAAAATAAAAGATTGTTTCTTAACCAAATTAACATTTTTAAGTTTTATGTGCACAAGTTGAGTGTTTTTCATTTTTGCAATGACTGTGCACATATATAGGCCACAAGAAGAGAAAACCAGTTTCCTGTTAATTTAGGTCACTTGATAAAACAGAGGGTATTTTGTACTTGAGTAAATTACATCCACAACATGGTTCAAATGCTTTATATTTTAATGACAGTTTTGGTATATTTTTCTTTCTTTGAAGGTGAGAAGCTCTGAGTGACATTAAAAGCATTTGTATGAAGGGAAAACCCTGAAGTTGTATTTGATATATGATCAGGAAGTCTTATATTCAAAGGGGATGGATGGAAAATGGGCTGATTATGTGACCACAATTGAATCATGAGCAAAAAATACAGGCTGTTGATTTCACTGCTCTCTGATATCGGAACTTAATGTGCTGTGGGGCAGGTTAGTTACCATCAGCTGGGTTAACGTGAGACACCTTCGTAATACGGAAGTTACCCAAATCCTGCTTTGTCATCCAGGCCTCTCGTTTCTTGGTTGATTAATAAATAAATAAATTTTAAAAATGCCCAAAAGAGCTCCTCAGTGTTTGCCACCTGCTCTGTTTAAAAACAGTCCTGCTGGGATACAAATTGTCTTTGAGCTCTTTTAACAGGTGGATCACCCTCCAGGTAAGAGGAAACAAAATGTACTCTGAGGTGAACTGTCCCTTTATTCAGCAGCTGCTCTTCCAGCTGTTGCCACTGGTTGATGATGTAGGTAGAGATGCCCGTGATGGTCAGTTGAGTTATACTTGTATTTACGGTGTTCAGGCCTGAGGATTTGCGGCGTGAGTTTGGCCGCTATGGGCCGATAGTAGATGTCTACATCCCACTTGACTTCTATACACGTCAGCCAAGAGGATTTGCATACATTCAATATCCTTTCCCAATGACTTTTAACTGTGTATGCTGCTGCTAACAAATTATTTAAATTTCCTTTCGGCAGAGAAGATTTTTATTAATTTATTTTTTGTGATGCATTTTCTTTTTGCACATAATCTGATTGAATATCTAACACGCATATTTCTCTGTTATTGCTTCAGAAAATGTAAACGCGTCCAGTTGTGGAAACCGGCCACAAAGAGTTACAAAGACCCATATAGAGTAGCTGTAAAGACACACAGACCTGCAGGATCAGAGGGAGGGAAAAGGTTGAAAAGAGAAAGTAAAGCATGAAGAGGAAAAAGGGAACGGAGACAAAGCTTGGATTTGGATATGGCGGCAAAGAATGGGGAAAAGAAAAAGAGGTTTAAGAGGAGAAAGCAAGCAGGAAACCCCCGAGTCTCTGTGGGAGTCGGTTAAAGAGTGTAAAGATCAAGATGAAGTTCAAAGTCAAGCATGGGCAAAGGTAACAAGTCTGAATTATTTTGTATCCTCCCATCCACAAATTTGACATGACACCAAAACCAGCTTTCCCTGTGACACTGATGAAACGATTTAATCCAGTCTTATTGTGTTTGATTTTATTTTTTTATATATAGTCACTGTCGTGATCCCTCAGACAGTTAGATGATATGTTTGAAAAGAGCTTGCTTCATCTTTTATCCCTTAAAAAAAAAAAAAGCAGTCAGCTGAGCGTGTTTGTGTTGTTTTCTCACCTGTCTTACAGTAATGTAAACGGTGTCTTTTTATAAATGTTTTTACATGGTAAACTGGGCCTCACAAATTTAACTAAAGTAAACGTTTATGAAGTGCATGGTTCTTTTTCTTGAGAAGCCTTTTATTTGTTTAGGAGAAAAAAAAACATTTCTTTAAATTTGTGAGGCCTTAAAAAAAGAGAAAGAAACAGAAACCTTAACCACTCAGCATATTTGAGGACGTGCGTGATGCCGAAGATGCTCTTCACAGCCTGGACAGGAAGTGGGTCTGTGGTCGCCAGATTGAAATCCAGTTTGCACAGGGCGACAGGAAGAGTAAGTGTCTGGTTTTTGTGTCTGAATTAGATTCAAACACTTTGAAATATTTTTGCTGTTGGTTTAAATATTAATCTGTGACTTCCAATGATAGAAAAATGTGTGACCAGCTCGGTTTTATCTCTTTAAAAGGAACCCTGATTATTTATTAATATTTAGCTGGTGGTCTCCTCCCCATGAAACATGGCGTTTAAAATTAGACCCATTTCCAACAACATGCCGGTACTCTGTTTTCAACATCTGCAGACACTGAATTTATCTGACACCAGTTTAGTATTAGGAAGCTTTCCTCAGTGTGAAGAACAACTGGAAATTATCCTTTTATTTATAAGGAGACATCAGAATCGACTCTAACATTGTCCTGTTAACTTTTCAAAATATAGAAAACAAGCAGATTTACTGAGTAAATTGGTGAGAATGCATAAGTGTTATTCATGCAATTTATCTGCACTGGTCTCATTTCAGCTCAGTTACGCTGCTTTGGTTGTTGCATGAGCCAACGGTTACATCAGCACACTGGCTTAAGCTGCTGAGGTGTGCTGCAGTCTCATCTGGAATGATACATGTCGCCACTGAGGCAAAAACAAATAACCTGCATCAGTTCTGTGGCTCCACACATTTATTTAACATGCAAAAGATTCACGGTTTGATGCCAGGAGGAGACAGAAATCCATTTGTGGTCGCATCAGGACAAACGGTATAAAATCTGCTGAATTAAATATGTGGAGCTACCCACTGTGGCGAATCAGTGTAGTAAAAGCTTCCCAATGAGCCTTACATTAGTACACTCTTGTTCAAGCTGTTAGGCATCATTACCCAGACTGCACTGTGACATAAACAACAGTCACGAACTGAGACTGAAAGGATTCCCCCTTCCCCCTCAACGTTTTAACAACCAAGAAATCTGCAGTATGCGTCGTCATAGTCGGGGTTCCTTTTAAATCACGTTTTCAGATTTGTTAAGTGTTTAAAATTAAGCATCAACCATCATGGTTTTAATTGTTTTCTGCTTTAACCACTTCTTCCTCCTCTTCTTTTTCACCAGCACCAAATCAGATGAAATCAAAGGAGCGGCGTTCCCCAGGAAGATCCTCCCGGTATGACGACTACGATCGAGACAGCCGGCGCCGACGGTCACGCAGCCGCAGTTACGAAAGATACAGGTCGCGCAGCCCGTCTTACGATCGCCGCCGCAGACGTTCGGAGAGTCCTCGAGAGTGAGTTAATCTCTCAGAAGAGAGTCGGTCGGTCCCAAGTGTTCTTTGTGAGAAGGAAAATAACGTTTTCATTTTTCCTTAGGTCTCGTGGACGGGTGTATGGAAGAGGAAGAAGCAGGAGCCGCGAGGATGACAGGTACAACTTCTCTTCTAGACTAAGACCACATTTACACAGATGCAGCCTGTCTGTTGTTTTGCTTCCTAAAATCCATCTTTGTAATGTGCTACTGCAACCAGAAGGTGGAAGTAATGTAGATTTTCTTTGCCAACAACCATTAAATGACAAATAGGATAACGTGAGACTAAATGCCCTGGAATACCCACGTCACAATACAATACAACACTTGTGTCCTCAGTTCAGCTGCAGCGGTACAACACACCAGGTTGGAAAAATCGAGAGGTGCAGAAACAGCAGCTTGTTAATTTGACGTCAGCTTTGTCATACAGCGGCAAAGGCGACTCCAGATGGTAGAAGGACTCGAAGGAAAGAAATGAAATGAGTTCAATGAAGAAAGTGTTTCTCTGCAGTTGACAGCTGCTCATTTCCATAATCGCAGTTAACACGAGTCCTTTATTTACTTATTTTTTCATCGACTGCCATTTGTTTTAGAGACAGCTACTGAATGAAGACTGTCGTGTCCAGATGAACTGAAAGATGCAGGTTGGGTGTAAAGCAAGGTGTGACGCGTTTATTTATTTAAAATACAGAAGGAACCAGGTGGTCCAGCCATCGTGGCTCTATGTTGTGTGTGTCAGCATCAAATTGTTGGACAGTGTCAGTCTTAAACCATTTGGCGCACACAGCAGCACAGCTGGGTGAAAACTGGTAGCTTCATGAACTGGTTTTTAAGCTCTTTTGTACTGATGTGGTGATATTATTGAACCCCACAGTCTTTTCCTCCTTTACATACATTACTGTTCATGTTATCCATGTTCTACCAGTTATTGTTAGATCTAATATGCGTCATTTCATCTGTAACGGTGCCCACAAGTTAGAAATTCATGGGATATCATCAGATTTGACTCTTGGGGAGTAACCCTAATGATCCTTATGCTCCGAGGAGGAAATTCCACATTTAACACTCATCAGTTTTCAGTTTTAATGAGAGAAGAGGCGGAAAAAATAAGGACCAGACAGTCAATCACGTCACCCCACAGCCAGTTGAAAGTAAAATCTGATCTGCACTGCATCTAAAAGTGTGACGTATCACTCTTTTACTTTGTGTGCCTTCAGATACAAGCAGAGACCCCGGAGAGTCTCCAGAGAGCGATCCCGCTCCAGATCCGCATCTCCACGAGAGAACGTCAAACCGCCGTCCACCTCCCACTACGTTGAGGAAGAAGTCCGACAGACGCATTCCCCGTCCCGCTCCAGGTCCCAGTCTGCGTCGAGATCACACTCTCGCTCACGTTCTCGGTCCCGGTCCTGGGCCGGGCGCAAGACAGGAGGACGCTAAAGCAGAACCCACTCCCCACCCCGTTCCCCCGGTTCTGTCAGACAGAGCAGAGCTGGTCGTTTTGTTAAGTAAAGGTGTTTGTTTGCCATGAATGTAACGTCCATTTGTAGAAAGCTCGTTTTCGCTATTCCATTTTAAGAACAGCGCTGCAGCTCCTCGGCTTGGTTTTATAAAGTTGTTCGGTGATATTTCTCTTTAGGAGCAAGATTCAGCGGTTTCTGCGCTCAGCCTGACGGGAAGAATATCCAGTCTTTTTTATATATACACAACCAGTTACTGATGATTTTTGTTTTCTAAACCCTATGCACCCACTTTTGCTAAACAATCCCTGACATTCAGTATTCTAAGGAAGTATTGAGTCTGTTGGTGAACCAAATGCATCTTTGTGTGTTTTATAACTAATCATGTACTAGGTACTTTACTGTCAGCCAGTTTCACCGCTGTTTTTTAAATTTACATTTGTTCGACAGCGATAAACCATCACCATGAGATAAATGTGTTCAAGGTTTTTTAAAGATGTGTTTTATGGAAGAAACCGAGAACTTCTTGAAAGAAAAGGCATTAAAGCTGATGGTGTGCGTCTGCAGTTTAGTCAAGTACATGAGCACGGGTGCTAAAACGCACAGAGGTGATGCTGGGGTCCCTAAAGTGTTAAAGACGTCAACAACAAGCTGACCTATACGGTCATTTGTTTTCTTTGTGGTGTTTTCTGTAAGAGTTAAACCTTTTTTCTGTTTTCCCCCCAAGTTGTTGTTGTTTTCTTTGAGGAGAAGCAGGTTTACTTGACGGTGTTTTTCAGAACAACTCGTGTCGCTGCATGTTTTATTCTTATCTTCTATCTTTAGTAGGGAAAAAAACTGTTATTTTGATTAATAAATGGTTAACTTTCGGTTAAAGAAAACATTGCGTGGCTTGTTTTTGTACTTGCTTGACCAAAGTTCATTATTGAACACAATTCAGAGTTTTCTCCTCCTCGGAGACCTCGGTGTCCTGTGGATCCCCAGCGTCTGCCTGGAAAACGGAGCAGGACAGTCTGTGAGCACGGCCCGGTCCATCGATTTCCTTTTAATGGAACAACTGAAATTAGATTCTCAGCAAAGAGGCAGCCATGGATGAAATCGGACGTGTCTCATTGATCGCTGTACTGGAAAAATGCATCAGTCAGATGAATAAAGCTGCAGATGGTGGAAGTCCTTATCAACCATGCAGTCACCAGTATGAGCATAATCACAAAAACAAGAGGCTGCACCACGATGATGCTGTAATCAGACGGGTTTCTGGGTTTCTCTCAGTCCCTGCCACTCCTGGTCAGTTTAATCCAGCTGTACTCCACCCTGTAAAGATTGTAGTGTCACATCTATGATGTCAGTTATCCTTAAACCCCTAAAACTCCTGTTTGGACTTTTTGTACCTGCCACCTTCTAAAAAAACACACAAAATGTACAGAGATGAGCTGTAACGGCTGAAGATCGAGCTTCATTTATTGTTTCTACTGCTTTTCTATCTGAGCAGAACTGAACAGCTACATCACCAGTATCATTTAAGGTGAACTATGAGGGGGGTTCAATACTCAAGATCAGGTTTATTTTCAGTATAAGGCTGAAGATTTGGTAAACAGACTGATTCCTATAACACATTTCTATTTGAATACTTTAAACATGTCTCAATCACACAAGCACTTTCTCTGTTTACACTGCAGTGAATAGGTTGGGAGCATAAACACATACTCGGGGTTCAGTGTCTTGCCCAAGGATACTTTGACATGCAGACTAGAGCAGCTGGGTTCAAACCACCAGCCTTCCGATTCAAAGATGACCTGAGCCACGGCCATCTATGTTTAATAATTAATGTGTTAAGAAATTAGTTGTGAGGCGGGGCTCCTGGAAGAGCTTAAAAAGTTCTGTGTGAATGTAGGGGAAAATATTCCAGCCTGCAGGGTTGGAACCGTAGATGATCATTACCAGGACATGACCCCAGGCTCACATTGTTGTGATTTACACCACCACCAACCTGCCTATTCAGTGTACTGTTTCACTGGTTAAATATAACAGCCTGATGTTTGAACACCCTTATTTTTATAAGAATTATTTGCTTGTTGTAGCAGAAATAGGAAACAAAGATAAACCAGACAAACACTGGTTGTACATTTTACTCTACATAAATCAAATAAATCTTTTTTTCTGGTTGATTGATAGATAAGCACCATAGACAGTTTATGATTGGCAGGTTGACAGATGAGGTCAGGCAGGAGTCTGTTCGCAGACGACGTTGTGATCTTCAGAGGTGTTAGAGAACCTGGAGAGTTGGAGGTATGAGCAGTCAGTAGAAGCAAGACTTGCCAGATGGCAGCAAGACCTGTTGTGAGGAGGAGGAGAAGATTCATGAGTGTGGTGGAGGAGGGTTGGAGTGACAGAGGACGATACTAGGGATAGGGTGAGAGGGAGGCAGGGACTGTGGGGTCCCATAAAGGGAGCAGATGAAATCCATTATGCAAGAAAAACTCTGCAAATTACAAAGTTCCTTCATGGAGGAAAACAAAATGAATAGATATGCATCTATGAAGGTGCATTAAGAAAAAAATAGGCTTTTTCTTTGAATTCCTCATTAATTTGTGCAATTTTAAAAACATATTCTGGTAAATAGTCAAACAAATATTCATGAAAACAATTAGCCTGAAAAAACAAACATGGAGGCGCATGTAGTAAAGCTCTCTATTGTCTATTGTGACATCTGTTGTTGGAATAAAGTAGAATTGAGGTTCTGTAAAATTAATATCTCTAGTTTTGGGAGTACCGGTCTTCAATTCGTTTGTTTGTTTGTTTGTTTTGTCCTCGGGTAAGATCCAAAAATATCCTACTGTTTAGAAAATGAGAGCGCCGTCTCAGAACCCATATTCCCACCAAGGCCCAGCCCAGTTCACCCAGTTCTGTGCTGCTTTCATCTAAATTTAGAGGATCAAACCAGTCCAGGATCCTCTGGGTTCAACCAGAAATAGGCGACAGACAACCAAATATTTTGGAGCACATTTCACCCCTGATGACTCGCAGGAACTGGCAGGTCGTCCATTCATACTGCTGCGAGGTAAATGGCAGCAGACCATTGCCACGGAATTGATTGATGGTGTTTCACACTCTATAAGTCGAGAAGAGTTAGTGCCAGCTCGCCTCATTTGTTTTTGCCCAGTTCATGACCAACAGCAGGGAGTTATATGTCTACCAGTGGGAAGATTTTACCTTTGATAAGAGATGAAAAATAAAGAAAAAATGCTTTCATAGGTCAGAAATCGGCAGCGTTACATCAAAAAGGCTTTTATGGTTACATTTTTATATGGAAGATAAAAGGTGAGTTAATGCTAAGTTATTGATTTGTATTTAAAATGATCGGTTGTGTCTGGTTTTACTCATTTATCTGGAAGTTTTTATAATGATGACACAAAATAGTGGTGAATAGACTCCTGTCTCAAATGGTGTCTGCTGGGCTGTGGTTTAGTTGTAACTCAGTAAGCTGGGGCTTTTATTCTGCAGGAATGATGATTACATTTAAAAGCATCAGCAGTGAAATGTAACCTAACAGTGTTGTATTTTTTCTTAAATCACACTATAAAATAATTACTGCTGTATCAGCATGTAACAAGCATTTTAAAGCCATTTTTCTTATGTTTCAGCTCATTTTGAAAACTAGCTTTGCCGTGTAAATTTTGAATATTTAAAAAAATAAGCAGTTGAAGCTCTTCTCTGGGATTAGGTTATTCTCAGATATTACCTGGTATATGCTCCTTTGCATCCTTTTTTTTTAACTTGTTCACTAATTAACAACTACACAAAAAAATGTAAATACATCACACATTAAAAAGATGATAAGTGAAATTTTTCTAACCTTAAAGAAAGTGACTTATTTTCATGCTCAAAATGAAAAGCAGCAGACAAATGTTCAGGTTCACACTGAAATAAAGATCTAACTGATGTGAATGAATTTTTATACCTTCTAAATTACACTGTGCTGTTCTGTTCCTTTGATATAATATAAAATATCAATAAACCATTTTAAAGATAGTCTTAGTCAGTAGTCTTCGTCTCTATCCATAAAAACATGCAAAACCTTTAAATACACCCGCGTTCCCCTTCACAGTTTTCTCCTTTTGTTCTATGAAAATCCTGTTCTGACCACTGGCACATGTGCATCTGTGATTTCACCACACGTGAAAAGCAAACATCAGCTTCTGTTTCCAATGGGCTACATGGACTTGTACTTTTCAGGATTGTAACGCTGCATCCTGTTGCATGTGAGGGCAATCTTCAAACTTGTTAACGGATTAGCTGCAGCTCAGGAGGTAAAGCAGGTCACCTACTGATCGGAAGGTTAGTGGTTCGATTAGTAGTAGTCCCTGGCTCCTCCAATCTGCATGTCAAGTATCCTTGGGCAAGATACTAACCCCAAATTGCTCTCTGATGCATCCGTCGGAGTGTGAATGTGTGTGAATGTAGTTATAAAGCACTCAGTTTAGAGGGAGTGCTTGTGAGAATGGGTGAATGTGGCATGTTGTACAGAGTGCTTTGAGTACTCCGGGAGAGTAGAAAAGCACTATATAAGAATCCATCCATTTACCATTGGTTCTTATACAGCGCTTTCCTACTATACCTGAGTACCGGAGCTTTATACAACATGCCCTTCACTCATTCATTCATTCAGCTATTAATCCAAGCATGTTCGCACACATACAGACTCTGATATTTACTTGGGGTTCAGTATCTTGCTGAAGGATATTTGACCTCCATCTACCTCCTAAGCTGCAGGAGGCGGACACATATGTGGTGTGTGTCTCGTTTTAACTGTGGCTTACTACCCACCTTAAATGACAAGTAGCCAGACTTATTGCAATTATTTTAAAGTGGTCTTGGGCAGTAATTCTCCAGACTTTCTGAAGAGCTTTCAAAGTTTATCTTTGTCACTTATCAACAGAGAGCTACAACAGTGAAGATCTACTGGCATCTGTAAAATACGGTGGGGGCTGTCAATGCATGGGGCTTAATTTCAGCTGGTGTTGTTAAGGATCTGCTGAAAAGTACCTTCACATTTTGATCTATCATGCAACACCATCTGGGATGAATCTGATTGGCTTCCTTTTTTGTTTCACTGCCAATGCAGTAAAAGCATCCCTAGACAGTGGAACATTACTGAAGCAGTGTGGGATCATGTTTATGGAGTACATAAAAAAAGCAGCCAAGATCCAAAGAAGAGCTTTGAATGTCCTTCAGGAAGGTTGAAAGGTTCTCATTCTGACAGAGAGAAGGTGAGATCACAGGTGCACAGTGCAAGTGGTTAGAAGAAACACTGAACTCCTAGTATATAAATGAGTTTTTCTCTCTTTTTTTGTTACAGAGCTGCTAAAGTAGAAAATGGGAGACTGGAACTTCCTTGGTGGGATCTTGGAGGAGGTGCATATCCACTCCACCATGGTTGGCAAGATCTGGCTGACCATCCTGTTCATATTCCGAATGCTGGTCCTGGGCGTCGCCGCAGAAGACGTTTGGAATGACGAGCAGTCCGACTTCATCTGCAACACCGAGCAGCCGGGGTGCCGGAATGTATGCTATGACCAGGCCTTCCCTATTTCCCTCATCCGCTACTGGGTGCTCCAGGTGATATTTGTGTCCTCGCCCTCCCTGGTGTACATGGGTCATGCCATCTACCAGCTGCGGGCTCTGGAGAAGGAACGCCACTGCAAGAAAGTGGCTCTCCGGCGGGAGCTGGAGGCGGTGGATGCAGAGCTGACAGAGGTGAAGAAGAGGATTGAAAAGGAGATGAGGCAGCTGGAGCAGGGGAAGCTCAACAAAGCACCACTGAGGGGCTCTCTGCTGTGCACCTACGTGGCCCACATTGTTACGCGCTCAGTGGTGGAGGTCAGCTTTATGACGGTTCAATACATCCTGTATGGAAACCGCCTGAGCACCATTTACAAGTGCGAGAGGGAGCCGTGTCCTAACGTGGTGGACTGCTTCGTCTCGAGACCAACAGAGAAAACTGTTTTCATGATGTTCATGCAAGCTATCGCCTGCATCTCTCTCTTCCTCAGTCTGCTGGAGATCATGCACCTTGGCTTCAAGAGGATTAAGAAGGGCATTCTGGACTACTACCCACACCTGAAGGATGACCTGGACGATTATTATGTCAGCAAGTCGAAAAAGGACTCAGTGATGCATCAGGTTTGCATGGGAACGACTGTGGGACGCAAGAGTACGATTCCCACAGCACCAAGCGGGTACACGTTACTGCTGGAGAAACAGGGCAACGGACCCAACTACCCTCTCCTCAACGCCTCCTCCGCCTTCGTCCCAATTCAAGGGGACCCTGGTGGAAAGCCGGACAGTCAAAAGGAGGGCAAGGAAGGAGTCCCGAGTCCCACGGAGCACAACAACAACTCCAACAATACCAGCAGTGAGACGCGGTCCCCTCCTTCAGACAAACAGGAGCAACGAGAAGATCAATCCCTACCACATCACGAGGACCTGGAGCGTGCAAGATCTGAGTACCCCACCCTGCCTGTTTCAGATGCCTCCTGCAGCACAGCGCTGTCAGGCTTCACGAGGAAGACACGAAGGATCACCCCACCGTGGAACTGCTCCACAGTCGTGGAGGGAAATGGCTCAGACAGCGGAGACTCCTACAACGGGAACAACAGCATGAAGCTACGAAGCGGCGGCGGCCCCAGAGCAAGGATCCTCTCCAAGTCAGACATTAAGAGACAGAGCAGACCCCAGAGCCCGGACTCTGCAGGGGAGCTGAGCTCTATATCTCGACACAGCCGGGAGAGCAATAGTCCCGCCGCCTCCCCACCAAACCGGCGAGTGTCAGCTGCCAGCAGCGCCAGCAGCAGACGAGCCCCGACTGATTTACAGATATGAGGACTGCTTAGAAGAAGCCATTAAAACACGATTACTGCACCTTTTTCACAGTTTAGACTTCTTTAAAAGACAATCACAAAAAGCCTGCAGAGATTATGCTTGTGCCAGACATTCTCCAGTCTTAGAAAGAGCATATGACAAACAAGCAGTCTAACATCTACTCTTCCTTTTAGAGGGATTCATACTAGGATGCACAGCCTTGTTTTCTCAGATTTCCAGGTCAGTTTCAGGCTATCAGAATGAGCTTCAACCCTCAAACAATCAAGCTATAAAGCTATGTTAGCAGCTGACATGACTGAGTGGGGCCTCATGATGTTTGATGATAAGTCGATTTATGAGTTATTCTGAAATGTTTTAATGGTCAAATGAAGGCTGAAGGGTCACACACGCTGAACTGTTTAACTGAAACATGCACCTAGCACTGAATTATTGCTAAACTTAGCTATCACAGATAAGAATGGGTCCTTGTCTCAGAAACCAACTTAAGAAAATGCCGACTTTTATGTTTGTGTGGTGCACTGTGCGCTAAACACATCTGCTCAAATGCTTTATTAACCTTTCATTTTTTCATATTTACAATTAAAATAAAGGCTTGCAGGTAATTCACAGACAGTATAAAAGATGGGCAGGGAACTGTAGCATCCTCAGTGGCTAACAAGCTATCAAGTGGTAAGCCAATGAGCATTTCCTGGATAATCCTTCTTCCTTAGAATATCCATTTACTTCCTGTTTTCCTGTTTTTTGACTTAATGTTTTAATAATATGACCCAAACGGAGTGACTTAACCCATAAACTATTTGAGAACGTGTTTGCAGAGCTCAGGGCAGAGGGGTGCTTCCCCATTGACTTCTTTGAGACCCAGGTTCTTTTTGAAATCACAGGAATCACCCCCTGGTGGACATTAGTAAGAATGCAGGTTTAAAGCGTTTTTGCATTGGCTTCACTTTTCAGACCTCGAACCTGCGCCTATGTTTTATACTGTCTGAGAGTTCATAGCAAGTGTTGTTTTCTCTCTTTTGACCTCGACTTAAATAACAGTACTGACTAGGATCATTTACCTCATTAACATAATGCCTTTTATAGATTTCTTTCTTTTCTTTTGACAAGGGGGGATTTTAGTTTGCCTTTTAACTTGTCAGGGGTGAGACTGAGCGGGCCCACTGGCTGGTGGAGACTGATTTTGCACCTCTGCATCATAATTATGATTTCAATCATTTTTATGCAACAAAGGAGTCAACTTGAGTCATGTTTTCTTTGTTACGTTTGACATGAAATATCTTCAAGACTTTTCCAGCAGTAAATTTCACTTGCAGCAAAACATGAGTGGTTAGAAAATAACATGCATATAAGCCACAATGATGTTTCCATGACTGTTGCCACACAAGTGAGCCAATTCCTGCCAACAAGTGAGTAAATCTGTAGGATTTACAGAGAATGGTCTGAAAAACAGAAAATACCCAATGAGCAGCTGTTCTCTGGGTAATATTTGTTGACTGGGAGCAGCCAGACTTCCCTGAGATTAAATGACAACAGTAATTGAAATAACAAATCATTACAACAAAGAGCATCTCTGAACGCACCAAAGCTTGAAGCAAATGTGCTACAGCAGCAGAAGACTACATCGCGTGCCGCTCCTGTCCACGAAGAGCAGGAAACTGAAGGTACAGTTCACACTTACTCACCAAAATCAGACAACTGAATACGGGAACAAACCTGCCTGGTCTGATAAGTAAAAATTACTGCAATGCCATTTGGATAGTAGGGTTAGAATTTGGTGTAGAAAAACAGAAAAGGATGGATCCAACATGCCTCAAGTCATGGTTCAGACTGGGAGTGGTGGTGTAGATCACAGTGTGATTTTCTTGCCACACTTTAGGCCTGTTATTAGCAAGTATATGTACCTAAGAAATAACCAGAGTGCACACATGTTCTGGTAACTACTTCCTGCAGGATCCTTTGTAGCCAGACACTTCAGTCAGTCGCAGCATCTGAATTCATCCATGATGAAGCTTTAATAACAAATGAAGAATTTCCATCAGCAAAATCAAGGACCTTCAGGACAGAGAAAGGCTGATGCTGAAATGTCATTTTTAATTTAGAAAGCTTCTTGTTATACAAAAAAAAAAAAAAAAAAAAAATAACAGTGATTTTGCATTCACTGTACATCCATTGTTTAATAAACATTTACATACAAACAAGGCTTTAGTAACATTTTTCTTTTTATTCCTCCACAAAAGCAAAGAAAACCTCTACTCTGCTGCTTCCCCATCAGGCGATGGTTCATACTGCATCAGCTGGAAGATGAGGAGGAAAACGAGAAGGTTAAAGGTCACAGAATCCAGACCAAATATAGACATGTGATTATCTGTAAACGCTCACCCTGCTCCTCAGCTCTTTGTTCTCCTCCATGAGCTCGCTGCACTTCTGTTGTAGGTCAGCCAGCTCCGTACGAAGAGCCTCTGTGTCTGCTGGCTCTGGACCAGCTGCCCCGAGATGAAGCTTTATGAAACTGTTGCCATGGTTAAGGTTAACGAGTGCATGGACATTTTACCCATCAATACTATCTAATTTTATTAGAGCAGAACAAGGTCCAACTCGGTTCTGCATGTTAATTCAGGAGAATGATGATCCAGTTTGTAGGTTGGAGAGACTGGTGCAGGAGAATGACTCCTTAGCTTAAGAACTGTTGGCCTGTGACAGACTCACCCACTGCAAGTATCCTGCAGTATTTAAACATGTGAAGAACACAGAATAAATCAAACCCCATGAACAGATTACAAAAAAACCCTTAGATTTTAAATCTGCTGCCATAAAAAGAAACTGGCTTTTCCACAATAAAACTGCCGAGTGATTATTTGGTCTAGCCTACATCCTTGCAGTATACCGAGATGCACAGAACATCAACATATTGATGAATTTTGATGCAGTTGATTTCCCCTTTCTACATAGCTGAAGAATTGGAGATATTAAGATTTTTATTGTGAATTAAAACTCAAAGTCTTAAAGGCTGCCATTCATCTCTAAATGGACCAGGAGTCACCTCATTGCCCATCTGAAGGTTTCAGGGGACAACGGTGCATTTAAATAATCGATTTGACTGCAATCGTAACATTTTAAGACTGATAATACCATAAATAAAAAATAATAAACTATTTTATTTTAAATGCAGTGGTTTAAGCTCTAAACCTGTTTATATTGAGTGAAATTTTGTGAAAAAGTATTGCCAACTTCCAGATCTTATTTTTACATATTTGCTGCATTTAAATATTCCACATGATCAAACAAATATTGGACAAAAATAACCTGACTGTCCACTTCCTAATGACTCAAATAATAATGAAAGTTTTGGAAGGCTTTATCTAGTCAAAGTTTGGACTTAAACTGGCTAATCGAGCTAATAAACAATAAACATAACAATAAAAAAATAAAGTGTGGCTGAAGTAAACCAGTTTTGCAAAGAAGAGCGAGCCAAAATTCCTCCATAGTGATGTGAAAGACTTGTTACTAGTTATACCAAAGAGTTGCAGTTCTTGCTGGTGGCAAAACCAGTTATTAGGTTTAGGGGGAATCACTTTTTCCACATAAGGCCTGGTAATTCTGGATAACTTTTTCCCCTCAATAAATGAAATAATTTAAAACCTGCATTTCCAATATTAAAACCCAGTAGATCTGAAACATACAAGTGTGACATATCTTTTTTGCTTTGAAGATAGAGCCACATCAGAAACTAATTGTTACCACCTGAGGTTGTAGTAAGGCTGCAAAAATGAGAAAAGGATACTCCAGTGCATTGTTAGGTTTCTCAGGCTCCTCATAAAGAGCAACTAAAACTGCAAGAAAGAGGGGGAGCACGGATATCAGTAAAAACAAATTAAAAGACTGTTTCACAGAATGCATTATCGTTAATGTCACCAGGCTGAACGGGGGGGGGGGGGTCCATTTACCGCTTGTTAAGGTGTCGAGGACTCCAGATTTTTCGAGGTACCTTCTAAATTGCTCCCGCTTCGACTCAGAGGCCTGAAAAAGACAAATAGTTGGATGACACACAAGTTGGGAGCCCATTCATACACCAACATAAAGAGCGCTATAAAAACTGTTTTCAGCCCATGGTGCCTTCACTGCCTTCCACCGTGTTGGCGAGCAGGGGTCACGTTGTTATGACGCTAGCTAGCTAGTTTTACAAACTTTAAATGTACCACGTAAAACATAACAGCTATAGAAAGTAAGGCCAAAAATACTTACTCTATATTGAGCCATGACTTCAATAATAGCCGTGTAACTCCGGGTCGTCTACAATGTGCGAAACGGAAAATAACTCGGGACTAGCTGCAGCTGTTTGAATGCTACGCAGGAGGTGACTCTGTTGCCATAACAACACATCAAATCATGCGGAAATGAAGTTCTTCCGATAAACAATCAGCTTGTAAAAGGAGAAGAAAGACTACAGAGTAGCTGTCAAAATAAGATTTAAACAATAAAGAAACGTAAGTTGTTCCGTTTGCGAGTAAACAACTGAAACGCCTCAGACATCGAAACGAGACGATGAAGCTGTGTTGCCAGATTTGCGTCACGGGCATGCAGAACCTACCTACCATATTATGATTTTTCGTCAGTTAAGCAACAACCCATTATAATTGGGAAATAAAGCAAGCCGAATTTTGTGTTAGGAGCTCCTGTTTGCCATGTACTACTGGGTGCTCTAAAATCGAGTAATGGATTGCTCTGATACCGAAGGTATCGTAAAAATGTCATAATTCACTGTCGAAGTCTTTTTTCCCGGGTTTCTACACTGGCATATTCACGGTGCTCTTGAGAGATATTGTCACCCTCAGGAAGAAAAAGTCAAATTAAACTAACAAATAAATACGTGCAACTTCTCTGCTTTTTTGTGTGTAATTTAGTTTCTATATTTAAATGGATTGGCCTCGCTGCTGCCACCCCTATCTGGCAACACAGAAAGGCGAACGCAAGCCTTCACGGAAGCGCGCTACCAGCGCAACGTCCGATTTATAAAACATATGAGCTGCAGTCATTGGATAGTCTAAAACTAGGCGTGGTTTATCCATCGATCGGCCCCTTCCCGGGGCTCACATGACTTGGGTGTAAAAACATCAGCACGGAAAGGAGTTTCTATTGTTTCGCCGGCTTCAAGATGACAAGTGTCAAGTGTTAAGCCTCCTGTGCTTCTACCTCCAATAAACCCTATGGAATAAGAGTTTATAATAACAAGGTAAGCTGATATAACAAGGTAAGCTGCTTTTGATCGATATCCGGTTAATCAGTGACACATTGTAGCTGAGCTGTTAACAAACATTTCCTGGCTAGGGCATTTAACAGCTAGTTCTAGCTTTAATTGGAAACGTTTAAGTATATTAACACTTATTTAATGTGTCTGAATGTTGATATAGAGTTACAGTTACGTTATTTAGACATATTACACCATGCTGTGGTGTGTCTCAGTGTGGGAAAGATGAGTTGATTTAGCTCCGTTTCCTAAAATATTTAATGATATTCATGTTACATCTACTGAAGGATGAACAGATGCTGTTTCTAAATATTATTTAGTTGGATTTATATTGAGTTATATATAAATAAAATAAAAAAAAACTCGTTAAAACGACAACAAGTTCTGTAGTAGGCGGTCCTCAAAAGTTTATGTAAATGCTTTAAGAGGTTTTATCTTTCTCTACCAGTGCTGATAATAAGACTTATTCAGCATCACGTTGG